TAGTCGCGCTCCAATGTCAATATTTGCTCCACTGAGACTTTACAACCTTTGCTCAAGAAGTTTGCGCCTGTTTTCCTCGAGTTCAAATTTCTTCACATTTCCCTCGTGTTTGACATTGCATCAAATTCCGATGCCAGGATCTTTCAAACTTTTCGTCTGTTTCGCTCACATTTCCTTTGTTTTCGTTGCAGAAGGATTTACACCTAATTTAGTTTCCTTGGTATTGTACCCCACGTTCTTCTTTCGACCACCTTTTCGTCAACTGCCTCTATCTTCTTTTATGGCATTTGTTTTTATTGTTTTTAGTCATTCCTTCGATTTGCAACGATCAAATTTATCTAATTCAGTCTGAACAACTCGTAACTCTTCAAAAAATCTGCAGTTTCAATAAGCTTTCCAAGCATAAAACTGTTCTTCATTGACGTGAGGTATTCGTGAAGAGGTTTTTCGTGAAGATTTCCTGTATGCGATGATGTGCCCCTCTGTCGCACAAAATCCTCTGAGTTGAAGTTTCTTTATTTCCCCAAACTCTGTTGTAGAGAGCCAATGAAATCCTTGGGCAAAGCTGATTTGAAATCCCGAAGTATTGTAATCAGTAATTTGTAGTAAGTGAGAAAAATCCGGTGACCGGATGGATTTGCTCTGAAACCTGCTGGATGAAGCCCTGCTAGAGTTAAGCGTAGGTGGTGCATTCGGTTGGCTGGAACGTAGAAGAACGAATCAATCAGCTGCGCTTAGGAGGTGTTTGCTCGCAGAAATCAATTCATTTCACTTCGAACAGCATTTGTGACTATTTTTCAGTTTTATCCCAAAGTTGAGCATTAGCATATCGTATTGAATTTCTTGGGTCTATTCCATACCTTTCTTTGGAAGAGCAATAGTTTAAGTTGAGCGTAGTTTTCAAGCGAGAGGAGAGAGTGCTCCTTCGTTTATCGGTCACGAAACACCCTAAACCTTCATCTGGTATTCAGGGCCCATCGTACGTTGGAGATCCCCAGCGAGGGGGGTGGGGGTTGAGAGAAACAGAAATTCGAGAAAAGTCAGCCGCCGAAAAAAGATTAGTCGTATTTGCCCTCGGGAAAAACTTTTTCGGCGGCTGACTTCTCTCGAACTTCTGTTTTAATTACGCTATCATCCTCCTCCTTTCCGAAAATCAAGAAGTTAGGAAGATATTAGGTAGGGGGGGGGAAGTGGAAGGGTGAGGGGTTGTATCAGATGAGGATTTCTGGAGGGGGCGTCTTTCGCAAAATTTTCCCTCCATGGCAGCGTGTGCCCTGTTTCCGTCGCAGTTGAGCCAGTTCGAGCCCACGTCCTTTTATCTTCGTGGTTTCACAAAACTACTATTATATGTAAGAGTGCATTCGTACTCTGCGACAGCGTTCGGAGCGTTTTGGGGAAAGTATACGGGGAGGGGGCAAAAATCAAAGCGAAATAAGTTACGCTTTATTAAGTTCCGATTGGACATTTTCACCATCGAATTCAGCAACACATTGTGCACACGAAACTCCGCCACAGTTTTCTTGACGAAAGCCATCGAGAGACTGTCACGCGACCGTTATTCGTTGAGTTCACCGAGGTCGTTGACATCTCCGAAACTGTAGACCACCCTGTTGAGCTCCGCTCGGACCCGGTAATCGAGGGGGTTAAGGTGAGGTGCCCTTGATATTCCGTCTTCTTCAGGTACTCAACGCCCTTCGATTCCAAGTAGGCGAGAGTTTTTCGATTCCATGTGCTGGCACCCAATCCTGTAGCAGTACGAAGTTTCCAAGACGGTACAGGCGACGACATGAAGGCAGGATATTCTCCTCGAGCTGCTCGATGTAACAGTTAGCGTTCACTTTCAGTCCTGCGTCCAGACGGCAATATCGGTCTTCCCATTCCAGGGACTTCCGGTCTATACTAACCCCGCGCCTTTGCGACTGCAGAGAGATGATATCCTGGACCGTAGCGACGTTGTCGGAGCTGCTCGATGTTGGAGGTCTTCCAGATCAAGAGTGCTGGTCTCCAGGTAGCTATCCATGGGTGACTCCATACAAGAAGTTTCGCAGCTGTTTGGATGACGTGAATTCCATAGGCCTTCTTCAGTTCGGCTGCGATTGCAGATGGCTTCATATTTCGTGTACATGAAGAAGATGGAACATGTCTGCTTATCGAGAAACCTCTAGGGTATCTTGGGGCGCTGATACTCGTATCCACGTCTCCTCCCTGGGCTGCGTACACTTTACTGGTATGTGTCGCGGGCAAGGTGTATTTTTTGCCCCCACCCCTCCTGTAGATATCGATCCAGGATTTGGCCGTCCACCAGCGTTTTCAGCGGTCATTGATACCTGTGCTTTCCTAGTAGCTCAAAACGCTGATGCAGCGTATGAATTCTAAAGCGCAAGGTCTGTTTGTCTGTTCGGAAATTGGGCATTAGCTGAACAGTCACTTGTAATTACGTAGCCTTGTGCAAAATAATCCATTCTGCAAAATATCACAAGGGCTTAGAAAAGCAATACAATATTGCAGATGTCCTGCTGATCTTACGGCTTCTTTGTTTGCTTGCATTGATTACGGTTTGCCATAGAAAGGCTTCCCACAAGCAGTAATCAGGCCACCTCTCGCCATTGAGGAAGAATTTTGTGAGATACTACCCCCCTGGATATCTCTCTCCGTCCTACAAACCATTTTGCTAAACTTTTCCAACTACTCACCATTCTTCAGGGAATTTTCCAAAAACTACTGTCCCCAAAGAAGTGCATTCGAGCCCGGTGGTGGAAGAGAAAGGATACCTCACCTTAAAGACAGCCCCCGCGCTCAGTAGTACATGGTCATCCTTCCTTGTGCAAGTAGTACAGCCCCCAAGCTAGAAACTATCCCACTCTCGCGACTCCACAGCGAGCGAGGAGCAAGCTACAGCCGCTCAAAGTTCTAGTTCTAACGCCCGCTCAGTTGGACCTCACTTGCTAGATGCCCTCTGACGGAGAGCCGCTCAGTTGTTCTTTGTTGGGACGGCGGGCATTAATCGGCATTCATGTCCTTTTCGCTGACCACGCTCGTGCCCATAAATAATTCTGCTTTCCTTTATTACATTTTATTCATTAGCAGCACATACAGTCAACTTCATCCCATCTCGCAAGGTAAAACGCGTAAAAATCACGAGCGACCCAATTTTCGTGGTGCAAAAGCTCGACGCACACTACACTAAAACATGCACGCTACCGTAACCCTTGAGTCCAAGTTTTTAAAAGTTTATTTTCCTTTTCAAGAGTTTTTCTTCCGTGTTTTTGTTTTCCGTATTCTTTTTTGCATTGGATGATATCCATTACTGGGAGATGCGAAAAAGGGATTTGTGAGCCAGGGGTTGCACAATGACCGCAGGGCTGTGTGACTGACAGGGAGCGATCTTGTTTATGGTGTTCTTGAGAACTCTTCTTGCTTTTTCTCTTCTTTGGAGAATTACTTATCAGCTACTGTTTCATAATTGAAAAGCAACTATCCATGACACTTTTATCGCGGGAGCTGTCTTTAAGCAGGAGGAACCGAGAAAAGTCAACGTTGTCGTGAAAGTTGCCGTAGTCACCTCTAGTATAATGCGTCCCCCAGTTTTTTTCTCAATTCTTTGGTCAGGGTATAGTTTGAGTAGCGGTCACATCTGAATGGGTATGTGACAAGACAATCGTAATTCGTCTCGCTGGTAGGCGTCGCGTGCGACGTAAGGTCGCAAATGGCCGGTGTTTGTTGGTTGTTTATGGCGACAATAGACAATGTGTATCAAAAGAAGCCGGAATTTTTTTACTATGCCGCGATACACTTGAAATCCGGTCCTCCAATGGACAGGCCAACGAAAATTAGGAAACGCTACGCGCGGCTGAGTGGCAAAATATTGTAATGCTCTTGTAATTGTAACTGTCTTGATCGTCTCCTCATTTGAATTGTACCTTAGCTCTCGCTTCCTTCGGAAATTCGTGGTCCCCAGAAAAGAAGTGTCGCGCGTGATTTTTGATCTCTCGGCTCACGTCACCACTCCGGAAACGCCAGCACCTTCTACAGCGCTGACTCTTCTTTATCAGCGTTCCGTTCGAAGGCGTTATACAGCGGCCGGTGATTTCCAGCAGCTGATTAGCTCCTGTATGGACACCTGGTACAGCTAGTTGTTTTCTCCAGGTCGTTCATATAAAACGGAGAAATTCACAATAAGAAACCTTTAAGTCGAAATAAGGCAAAAGGAATCTATGCTGTGGAATGCCCTCTTTTAAGTGTCCGCATTGCTATTGCCAGGAAAATGATGGCGGAGAAAAAAAGAAAATGAAGCGAGCGCGCATTAATATTTTTCCAAGCTAATACTTTGTGAACATGTTCTTTTCTGAGAAACGAAAGGATCCCGTACTTTGTTGTTTTCTCTCACAGGTGGCCATTCACCTCCATACTCGTTCGAAAACTGGTTCCAATCGTTTCGCGAACATTTCTTTGTGTTGTTGGCGCAGTTCTTTTACCCGATCAACCTATGCTATTATACTATTGCTCTCCAGGGAAGTCCGCCAACTTACCATGGAACTTTGAATGGAGACCTGGGTAGATCGATAGAGTCTATAAGGTTATTTACAAATATAGATAGCAAAACTGCAACCTGCATTTCACAAGCAACTTATGAGCAGGTAAAGTTTGTAATGGTGCAGTAGGGTGGAGGCTTGGTGGTGAGCTGTGAAGCATAAGCGAGGAATCGCATACGTCGAATCGAGTCGTCGAACGTCGAACCTTACCACTGAACCACCACGACTCGATTCGACGTATGCGATTCCTCGCTTATGCTTCACAGCTCACCACCAAGCCTCCACCCTACTGCACCATTACAACTTTACCTGCTCATAAGTTGCTTGTGAAATGCAGGTTGCAGTTTTGCTATCTATATTTGTAAATAACCTTATAGACTCTATCGATCTACCCAGGTCTCCATTCAAAGTTCCATGGTAAGTTGGCGGACTTCCTTGGTCAGCGGAACAACGTTGTTCTTGCAGGAAATGACAGCCATCGACTTGGAGACATATCCGTTGCACAAGGCTGCATTTTTCAATGACGTACACTCGATATCACAGCTCATCAAAGCGGGTGAGATTCTTTTTTCATGCACGTCGCACACCTTTCCCTTTCAAAACCGCTGTATGGCTCTTACTGAATTCAGTCACTTTATAATCTTGTTTACTTTACTTTACACTTTATTACCTTTTTCCAGGTCGTAGTTTATACGAACAGGATATGCATGGGAATACAGCGCTTCATATTTCAACAATGCTTGGTCATCGAGGTTTGTTTGTTTAAGTGGACTCTTTGATTAGTCCAAGCAATATTCCAACTTATTTCATTGGTTATCAAGTGATTGGGGGAGTGTTATGTAAAGACTCGCTATGAAAGCCTGTCTTCCCATGACAAGTGAACGATCAAATAACTAGATGCGGTATCTTCAAAGCTCTCGTGTTTCATATCCCGCACCTCCCTTTCTCGATTGCGTTCTGTTTTTCTTTGTTTCTATGTCGATGGCCTTCCGTTTTCAAGTTTGTTTGAATGCCTGACTTCAACCTCACCCGCGGTAGCTCGTTTTACTTCTAAATTGCGTGCAACAATGTAACTTTAGGGCTGTATTTTGGGGATGCGGTGAATCCTCAAAAACGTCCATCCTTCCAATTAACCCTTTCTCCGACAACGATGGATTACGAAGTCAGTTATAACCCATCAAACCCTATTCACGCACAATCTTGAGTCGCGGGTTATCCAGATCATAGTTGTACCCTCATTTGCTCTATTTTTTTTCAATTCGCGGGAGTCTCCCGACTATCTGAAGTAT